TTATACCTTATTACCCTTAGTAGGTAAGTTCTAGAAATATAAGCTAAGTAATAACTCCTTAAGGCTTTATTTTTTAAGCTTAATAGGAAAGAACTTAATTATATAATAAAGAAAGAGGTATTTCTTAATAAGGTAGCTAAAAATAGAGAATATAAAATATAGTATATAAAGCTAGAAATAACTATTAAATTAGTTAAAGATTATATTTTATAATAAAGCTTTTATAACTTCTATTTACTATAGCTTAGTAAATTAGGTTATAGTATCTTAAAAATAAAGAAACTTTATTAGAAAAGTTAAAAAATAGAAGTTATATATATAATTATATACGGTATTCTTAGTTATTAACTTAAATTAATTAATAAGATTATATAACTAATTTCCCTTACTTAAGATTATACTTATAAGTAATTAATAATATAATTAATAATCTTTTAACTAGGGATAAGAGATTTTATATTAATACTATAATAATAGGTTAATAGGATATTTTAAATATCTAAGAACTTATATTTTAATTTAAAGAAACTTTTACTTAAAATATATATAATAAGATATTAAGAACTAAGTAAGTAACTACTAAATCTACTAAATAATAGTATAAAAGAGATATAAGTTATATAGAAAACTTAAAAACCTCTTAATCCTAAGGTAATTATAGTAAGAAATGTTAATAAACTTTATAACTAAACTACTAATTACTTAGTATAAGAATAAAATAGTAAATACTATCTTAGTTATAGTTAATAAATTTACTAAGTATAGCTAATTTATATTTATATTATTAATAATTATTATAGTAAAGTTAGTAAAGATATTATATAAATATATCTTTATAAACTTAAAAGTACTTTAAGATATAGTATTAAACTAAAGAAGTATATTTATTAGTAAGTTTTAAGCTAAAGTTTATTAGGTTTTAAAAGTAAAATAGTAACTCTTAATAGCTTATTACCTTTAAACTAATAAATAAATAAAATAAATAAACTAAATACTAAGCTACTACTTATAATATTTTATAAGAAATAACTAAGAAATATAGCTAAGTTTACTTTAAGATATTTAATATATATATATAATAGTATACTTAGTATAATAATTAATAAAAGCTTATTTTTTATACTTATAAGCTATTACCTTAGTATATAGATTAATACTAAGGAAATAAAGTAGTAAAGAGGTATACCTAAGGTATATATAAAAGTATAGTAACTTTATAAAGTATAGAAAAGAATACTAAAGTATTAAATAGCTATAAATAAGTAATAATAATAGTACTATAATACTAAGTATAAAGAAAAGGTATACTCTTAAGGCTAACTTATAATACTATTAGCTAGGAAATTAAATTTAAAAAGTAAAAAGAAAAAGAAGTTAAAAGTTAAATATATTACACCTTTTTAAATTCTAAAGAAAGTAAATATATAAGCTTACTAATTAGTATTACTTAAATAGTATTAGTAATTATAAAATATATTTCTTATTAACTTTTTAAAAATATTCTAAGAAGAATATTAAAATAAAAATAAACTCTTACTAGTACTAAATCTAAAAAATTAAGATAATAAATAAAAAGTAAAATATATTAAAGCTAAGAAGGTAATTAAAAATAGCTTTACTATTTAGTAAAGTAAGTTAAATAGCTAGTAAGATATAATTAATAAGTTACTATTGAAGATATAATAAATATACCCTATATTATCTAAGTATAAACTAAGAAGAATATTATATTAGTAAAAAAGTATATTAAATAAGAAAGTAATATAGGTATAAGAAAAAAAAGTAAACTATATAAAAGTTTATTAACTATAAATACTACTATAAAGGAATTAAATTAGCTACTAAAAAATTACTATAACTAAACTAAATAACTACTTATAAGCTAAGTAAAAGGATTATTTACTACTTATAAGTAAAACTAGGAAAATACTTAAAACTATACTTTAAAAGAGTTATAGAATTAGTTTAATTAAAACTACTTACTTTAAAACTACCTATACTAAAACTATTTATATTAAAACTTTACTAACTTTATTAACCTTATAAGCTAAGAGATTAAAAAGAAAAGTTACTTATAAAAGTAGTAAAAAGGAAATATAAAATAATAAAAAGGCTAAAGTTTAAACTAATAGTTTTAAAATACTTTTTATTATTATTCTTATTATATATAAATATCTTCTTAATAGATTTAATAAAAGTAATAACTATAGTTAACTAAGCTATACTACTTATATCTTTAGTATTAAAATATATATAAGTTATACTTAACTAAGTAACTTAATTTTTTTTTAAATTACTAAATTAATTAAAAAAGAAATAAATAAAGGAAAAATAATAAACTTATAAACTTATATAAAGAAAAAAGAAAAACCTATATAGTATAATATAAGTACTAAGTAATTAGTATATTATAATAAGTATATATAATTTAGAAACATATTAAAATAGTAATAAGTAAGTAAAATAGTAAAGATTTATAACAATATTACTTTTTTTATTAATTAAACTATAGTAAAAGTAATAAAAAGTATTAATATTAATAAATATACTTATAGAATAATATAAAGTAAAGCTAAAAGCTTTATAAGTTTTAAATAATAAAGTAAAATATTTACTATTTTTATTTTTATTAATATTAAGAATCTTAATAACTTAGTATAAAGTATATACTAACTAATAATAGTTACTATTTATAAAGCTAAAAATACTAAAACTAAGTTAATTATAATTTAAAAAGATATTATATAGGTAATATATAAGAAATAGGTTAACTTACTTTTACTTAAGGTATATTAATTATAGTAAAAAAAACTAAAGTTCTTAAAAGTATATAAAAAAAAAGTAAAATTATTTATAAAGTTAAAATTAGTTAAGTTACTAAGTATATTACTAAAGGTACTATAAAAATAATAAAGGTAATTAATATAAAAATAAAAGCTACTATACTAAGTTAAGAGCTTAGGAAAATAATATTAAAATAGCTTACCAAAGGTTTTATTAACTTACTACTTACCTTTACTACTAAAGTTATTATTACTAAGTATAATAATAATAATAATAATTAAAGATAAAAAAGATATAAGTAAAAGATATAAGTAAAATATAGTAAAAAGAAATATAAAAAGGTAAATACTATAATAAAAAATAATAATATTAATATAAAAAAAAAAAGAAAAAAAAGAAAACTATAAAAGAAAAAAGTAATATTTATATTACTTAGTAATATAAAAGTAATAGCTACTTAATTTATATTAGCCTTTATAATTTATAGTAAAAAGTACTATTATAAAGGTAATAGTATAGTAATAATAATATAATATACTATTACTAAGAAATTAAATATTAAGCTACTAATATTAAAAGAAAAACTAGGTAATAATATAAGTTAAAGATTATAATAAATCTATAGTTTATTTATAATATAACTATAGTAATATACTAATAAGTTAAAAAGTATATTAAAGCTAAAGATAGCTTTTTTAAAAAGGAAAATAATTATTATAATTACTTTATAAGAAACCCTTAGCCTTATTAGCTTAATCTTATAATCTAGCTAAACCTTAGGTTATAAAACCTTTAAGGATTATAATATCCCTTATTACCTATAACTTTATTTTAAATTCTTTAAGCTTTAGTATAATATTATTATTAAATCTACCTAGCCTTTTTAAAACCTATTATACTAGTATAATATATATTTAACTTATTAAGATTTAATTTTACTAAAAGAAATTATTATTAATTATAATATTAAAAATAGATTTAATTTAAAACTTATAGTTTAAAAAGAATAATAAATAAGAATTTTATTACTTATAATCTTATTTTAAACTTTTTAAGCTTTAATATAATATATATTATTAAATTTACTTAGCTTTTTAAACTATTATATTAATATAATACTTTTTTATAATAATTAAAAAGTACTATTACTTAACTTTTAATATTAATATTATAATTAACTTTTTAAAATTTAAAAAATAAGCTATTATTAAAGCTTTTATAAGTACCTTTTTAAAATACTATACTAATATTTTCCACCGCCTTATAACCTCTTCCTTCTCCTCTTTACTCCCTTTATGCCAATCGTCTATAGCCTGTCTTAATCTTATTAACAGTATCTCTGCCTTCAATGTTGTCATATGATGTTTCATAAGTTCCTTTTCCAATCCCTTCAAACTATACCCAGGAAGTCCAAAGCATGCTGTACATATGTCAATAAGATCAATAGCTCTAGGGAAACTCGCTGCTTACCTGAGCCCAAGTTACCTATGATGCCGAGTCCGCCCCTTAACAAACCTCTACCAAAACCCTTTGCGCCCATACTCTTTGTATCTTCGTAAGGCTTCATGACAATGCCGCTGAATGCATCCCAGAATCCATAGCAGAATTCCTTACCTGCTGTTCGAATACCACTCCCGAGCCCTGTGATTTCGTCTCTTCGGCGAACATCGACATCAAAGACGTTTGAGGGTGCATTGTGGAATCCGTTGGCCACGTTGTAAAAGAAGGCTACAGGTGCTCTAGCCGTCGCTGCCGCTATATCACAGGCGTACCGGCCTGTCACTCGTGTGATGTAGAAAGCGCGGCCGTTCCTGCCGGCCTCGTGGGCTATCCACGAGTTCTTGTGTTTGAGATGAGCTTCGGTGACTGGGCGACATAGTCTTGTTGCTGAGAAAGCCGGCTCAGCACCGTAGAGCGTCTTGCTTGCCATCTTTCGAGCAAGCGCTTCCATGTCTGCCTGCGTCGCATTTCGGGGGCCCTTCATGGGTTGCAAAGCAGCCTCCTTTATTCCGTCTTCTTTTGCTAGTACCTCTTGCGGTTTTATAGTGCTGCGGCGTCTTGCCGTGCCAGATCGTGGTGAGTTTCTTAAACGCTCTGCATAATCAGACGTTGCAGTGCCGATAGCTGCAGCAAAGCCTGACGCTGCGGCTATCGCACCGATGGCAGGCGACTCAGCTCCCTCATCCACATACCAATGTTTATGACGGAGAAGCTTCAGATCCGACATGTCAACCAATGCATGATCCCTGAGGCAGGCGACTGCGAAGCCACTCAGATGGGCTCCTGTCTTTCGATGGAGCCAACTTGCTAATCTTCCAGGGCTCAAATCGCAGCGAAGACTATCGATATCCAGATGCTCCTGTATGTCCATAGCGGCACCACCAGATCCATCTTCTTCGCCGATCTGTAGCGCCATATCGTTTGCTTTCTCGATGACCTCGGGCTGTAGCGCAAACGTGATACTCTCTGCTAGTACCTCAGCCGTTAAGTCTTTGTATGGAACTGCCACGGGGCCTGCGCCTGCGCGCGCCATCATCTGACCCCAGAAAGGCTGGTCTCCAAAGAATGGCACGATGACAGTTGGTCGACCTGCCGCTATGCCAGCAGCTGTCGTACCAGCACCACCATGATGAACAACAGCTGCAACCCGTTGGAAAAGCCAGTCGTGGGGACAGTTCCCGATGAGGTAGACGCTGTCTGGCACTTCTCCGATACCAACACCTCCCCATCCTTTTGAGATGATTGCCCGGACACCGGCAGTCTTGACGGCTTCGAGGATCATGTTGGTAAGAGCTTGAGGATCATCCACAACAATTGATCCAAACCCAATGTATATTGGCGTCGGGCCTGCATCAAGGAAGCCCACGAGGTCTGGGGGAGGTGTATAAGAGCCGGCAAGAGGCAGGAAGGAGAAGCCTGTGATGTTAAGATGACTGTTCCAATCAGATGGCTTAGGTATTAACGTCTCGGACCAGAGATAACTGAATGGAATACGGAGCCTGGACAGAAGCTGAAATCCCCATAGCGGGCTGATGGGATCGAGATGCAACGTCTTTGTACGGAATTTGTTGATCAAATCTCCCAAACTAGAACAGAGTGCATTTGTCAGTCGATTAGCCAAATAAGAATAGGTTGGAGTGCAACTCACCCTTGCCATGTCAGCAACTCCATCATCATAAAGGAAAGGTAGTTGGCAACCTTGGCATCGGCATCGCCATAGCTCATGGCGGCAAGTGGATGGGGGAAAGATTTGGTAGGTGACCAGGGCATGGTGAAGACCATGTGTAGAGGAACACTGAGCTTCTGAGCGCAGTGTATATGACCCATGGATGGGGGGTTGGCAATGATAACATCAGCCAGGAACAAATCATCGACAGACTCTACGTTGGCAGCTTTGACGGGCTCCCCCATACCATTGCCCGCTTCTATGCAGCTTCTCCAGGTACCAGAGATGATCTCTGCCATCTCTTTTCGTCTCTTACCAACATCACCCCCTTTGAGGCTTTCGCGATTTGGCAATAATCCAGGGTTCTTGACCATGTACGCCATGAGGGCTTCGGGGTCGCCACCAATATTGAAGAACTCGACGCCTTGGGCCTCAACGAATTCCTTGAAAGCAGCATGGGTACATATCCGAACACGGTGGCCATAGGGTGGTTTCATGAGCAGTTGGGCAATGGGTATGAATGGCTGGACATCTCCCCGGGATCCTACAATATGTATTGCAATATGGAGGCGTGGACTCTCAGCTGGCTTCTCTACGCCAGGAATAAAGGCAACACTGTTTGTTCGACGAGGCTTTGGGGGTTGCAATTGCTCCGAAGATGATGCATCGCTAGCGAAAGTGTCTTTGAAGTGCTCACACCAGGCGGCCAGCGCTTGAGGATTGTCGTGGAATTGAACTTTGACGCGTCCATCGTCAATGACATTACTTGAAGGTCCCTCGTCGGCATCGTAGTCGTCGATTGCAAGATGCCCTCGTCCACGAGATTTGATTCGATTGAGCGCCATAGTCTCAGACGATGCAAGAGTGAGATGAAAGACTAGGTAGGTATGTATCTATCACTATCACATCCGTGTAGGCCGAGGCAACGTTGAGTTGCTGTGCTGCTCTGCTCTCACATTCCGTGGCGCTTGCTAGAGTAAGTCAACCTAAGTCATTGTGGGGTAATATAATACTAATACTGTATGTACAGTACAGTAAGAGTGAGACCTGGACTAGACAGCAAAAGGTAAATGCATTAAGTTATTCGTATCTGTATGTACTGTACTTCTCTTTTCTCGAGTAACGGTCTAGAACTAGATAGACTAGACCAAACTCTGATTCTTACTGCATCGAATTGATAGGATGGGATGGTATCTTGAGCTGACACCCTTGACCGCAACAATCGAGTCTATCTTTTCTTTAGCCGTTGCATCCGAAAATCCATTTCACACTAACTAATCAATTTACAATTAAAGTACGGATAACCCTGCCCATCCATATATTGTTTGTCTGCTCAAGGTAGTCAGACTGGTCGTGCATGTGATAGTGCATCGATCGACCTTCACCCATGGCAACTCAAGTCCGGGATGACTGCTAGACTCACTAAAAGATTACAGTATAGGTACGCCTCGCCTCATCACCGTCCTCCCTCATTCATCCTCGGTCATGTATCAGGACCCTTTCAATCCTGGTTTTTACCTCGGCAACATTGCCATGACCACGGCCCTTGAAGGCTTCATACGACAGTCTATGCGCATGTATGCCCTCTGAAAATAACACACGCCTGTCCTTCCATCCCGTCAGTGACCGCAACTTATCACTTCCAACCCATTGGCTAAAGCTGAAGACGAAATGCAGTCCCGAGGGAAACGACGACTCAGCTTCGTCCGAGCGGACAAACTGTATGCCCTTCTCAAATCTGTACTCTTTGGCGATAGCTGTTGCGATCTCGCCTAGAGTCTCATAGCGATGCCCAGAAATGTTGAAGAACTGTCCATCAACAGCGCGTCGATCGGTATGCTCTGCCAGTGATACATAGGCGTCGCCGCAATCGTCCACATGAGTGGCATGCATGATGCTGTGGGGATTTCCAGGGATTCGAAGCACTTGAGAGCCATCTTGTCGCTGAACCTCTGCATAGTCAAAAATCGCACCGTAGTAGCTGCTGGAATACCCAAAGACGCATGTTGGCCTCAGGACTGCCGCGTCAAAGAGATTGCTATAGTCAAAGACCTTGGCAGAGTTGACTGTGCGCTCTTTCAGTATCTGTGGCTCGTTCAATGGCGAGTCGTCGACATGAGGAGTCAGACTGGGTTCCCCATGAAGAGGCGTAGTACCATAGTCCTTACAGCCCGATGACCATAGTACGAGTGGTCGCACTCCTTCTCGGTTACTTTGCTCTGCCACTATCTTGACACAGGCCATGACCTCTTGGAAATGAGCAGCATAACCGGGAATCCTCTCTGTGCAACTGACAATTACGTCAAAAGTGTTGACCTGGTTGAAAAGAGACTCGAGGAAGGTTAGATCGGTAAAGGATCCAATAACAGGGATAATCTCAGAGAGCGCCAGTTCTTCCTGTGCCTTGGGGTTGCGGATAAGACCAAAGGTGTTCCAGCCAGCACGAACAAAAGCTCGACAAACAGCTGAACCAATGTATCCGTTGGCTCCGGTCACGAGTACGTTGCGTCGTTTGCATTCGCCCATGGTGATGACTTCCTGGCTTCCTGACTTCGCTCGGATAGGTTACAAGAGGATGAGTATTTTCACCCAAATCACTGTTCAGGATGCTTATTGAAATAGGTTTCCTGAGATCTGTTGTCAATGAAGTCGGTCAACGTTGAATGTTATGTCATCTTGCCAAGTTTGTACGGGCAATAACGTTATTTACCCCATCGCCTTGGACAATTGTCATCGGACAAAGAGGAGAGGCATCACAAAGATAACGACAACAGAATAGTCACGGGAGACAACTGTAAATGGCAAAACAAGAAAAGTAATACTCGGATATCGATTAAAAAGGAGGGAGAACAGTACAGCAAAAATGTAACCAAATATAAATGCAAAAACATACAACAGCGGGGATTCGCTGGTCGTCACCGACCCAACTACTAATCCGCCGGTTAGTGGCTTGACTATGGGAGAGCGGACGGGATCCCGTATTTTCCACTACCTTTGGTCGTATGTATCAACTTTTCAGTTACTGTAGTCTATATAGAAACACCCCCTTTTACGTTGTGTCTGCATCCAGCTTCTGGGCACTAGACTATTGTCTATGTTGATATATCTGGTCCAATTTAAATTGATTCATTATGGCTCCTGGCATCATATCAAATGAAACCAGTAATTCGTTAGTGTATAAGTTTCATAAGTTGCTGGCTCCATGGCTCTCAAACCCACAAATGCTTCCACTGCCATCACAACTCTGCTGGCAAGATACAGGAGCGGACTGCCAGCCTTGACAATGGTCAATATCCCTTCCCATCTTAGACTCATCTTCCTGAACTGCATACAAAGAACAGAGGTGATGACAGATATCAAGGCGCTAACCCGCCATAGCCAACGTTCTATCTCTGATGGAAAGGAGGATGCCCATGAAACCAGATGGATTGCTCCAAACGATGCCCCCATTAGGCACAAAAGGGGCCAGTATTTGGTCATATATAGATTTGCGTCCCACTCTGTGATAACATTGTTCCCTTCCTGTACAACTTCACATACAGTGGAGTTCAGCCGTTGCGTTACTTGTTGCAACTCAACAAACTTCTGCATTTATTACATGTAGCCTGTCAGCCTCAGCTACATTTACCAATCGCTCCTCAGCTTCTTTGTCTGACCACCCGGCATCTTGCCAACATGGCTGCGTCCTCTGCCCTTAGGCCGACTATGCTGGCGCTTGGTCTAACGCTCGGCGTTCGAACCATGCTCTATTTCAGTATATTGGGGGCTTTAGTAATTGCGCCTTCGCTACAAGCTCATGCTATTTATCTCCACAAGGTTAGCCTGACATGGTTCAAAGATCTCAATACGCCAGAGCAATTCGGGTTCGCCCGTCACCAGGTTTCCCCCTTCTACATTCCAACTCCTGATGGCGTCAACCTGCACTCGTGGCATGTCCTTCCCTTGGCGACATATGAGGCATATCAACAAGATTTGCTCGCCCAAGGAACAGAAGCCGGTCTGGTTGAAAGCTTTGAGAATACCCTTAACTTCCGACTATTGAAAGAGAATCCAAATGCTCGCCTGGTCCTCTACTTTCATGGAACCAGCGGCACAATGGCCAGTGGTTGGCGCCCTGATAGTTACCGTTCTCTTTACTCAGCCGATCCTATCAACACCCATGTTTTGGCATTCGACTACCGTGGATATGGAAAGTCTACCGGCTCCCCAAGTGAAGAGGGAATCATCACAGATGCTGTTACCATTGCTGATTGGGCTCTCCGAACAGCAGGCATTCCTCCTGAGCGGATTGTAATCTTTGGTCAAAGTCTAGGTTCGGCAGTAGCCATTGCACTTGCCAACGAGCTTTCTCACAGGGAAATGCCAGTTCACTTCGCTGGCCTAGTCGTTACAGCGACCTTTGCAGATATCCCTCAGTTGACGGCCACATATCGTATCGATGGGTTCATCCCTGTACTTTCGCCAGTGGCAAAGGTAAAGCCACTGTTCGCCTTCTTCGCCCGTCAGCTTTCAAGCACTTGGGATAATATGCATAGACTGGGCGAATTTGTCAAGTCAGCGAAACGATACGACATTACCCTTTTACATGCTCAAGATGATACGGATATTCCCATGGAACATTCCGTCAAGCTCTACAGAGAAGCTGTTCGCACGGCCGAAGGTGCAAATGATCTGGTAGAGAATGACGAGGCACTCCTCCACAGAATAGCTAAGACCGAACAGAGCCGTGGAGAAGGGGGTTCGGTAACTGTTTGGGCCACCAAGAAGGGCGACATACGACTAGAGATTCTAAAGTATGGAGTGCACGACAAGATCATGTCGTACCCTGCCACCGGCCTTGCCATCAGCAGAGCGTTTGCCTCCGTACACTCACAACGATAACCTTTCTTAATAGGCCAGAAAAAGAAATGAACATTTTACTTAGCTGCCTCAATCCTCTCTTCAAATTCCCTCTTCAACGCCGCAATATTCTTGATCATATCGTTTTCTTGCTGTGTTGCCATTCCAGGTTTTCTGATGCAGTACGCAATATCTTTTTAAATAGACTGAAAAGGCCCTAGTTATATCATTCACATCGCAAGCTATCACGATCCGCGTGCTAATACTACACAAGTTCCTTCTCTCTATCATCCATTTGGGTACAGTCCAGCATCACACGCTCGTTCCGTAGCACGCCGAAATCAAGGCGGAAGAATTCCCTCATGAAACCCCCCATAATTGCTTCCCAGAAGGTTGCCTATGCATAATGCCTGTGGCCTGTCACCATTACAAGTCTGTAGTGTTAAGACATGCTCAGCCCAGGAAGAAGAAAGCATACGCAGAAGGGCTTGCAACACATTCTTCAGCTAGCTAGCTTCGTCCCTAAGGAATGGGTTTCGTCGTCGAGTGTGAAACATTTCCTCAGTGAAGTCGTTACAATTTGACTGTGTTTGCTATTAAGCACATTAACGATTCAATCAGTAGCTCCGTCGTTTGTTGCGTTGCTCTTGGTCCTGTTGCGAGCTAGGGGTGCCGCAGCCGTGCTTTTCTAAACATTGGTGCGATCAGCCAGCGGCGCAGGCTCTCCCTTCAAAGTTTCTGTTGAAGTCGGCAGGTCTATTACATCGGCCTCTGCTACGGGCGTTGCACCGTCAGGGGTCAGGGCCTCCTCTCCATTGCCCTCGCCCTCCATCATAGCGGCCAATCGAGCTGCGCGCCCTTCTTTCTTGCGGGGGACCGGGGCTATAAAGTCAGCGTATGGTTCCGGGCAAAATAAAATCATGGAATACTTACCTCGCCCGTTCTCCTGTACGTAGAACCGTCTAAGCAAACCAACGGCTTCATCGCGGCCCCAGCCGCCCTCGATCTCATAGCCAGATTCAATGTTGCCACCATCACCCCCACCTGGAGGATATGACACACCCAGAGTACCACTGCCATCTGGGAGCTGTGCGGGTTTTGGAGTCGGATGGGCGCTAGCAGTCTGCCCGTCGGCACTGACGGGAAGGGAATTGGCATGAATACTGAAGACACCACCGGTTCCGCCAAATTTGTCGTTGACGGCGCCAAAGTAGACCTTTTTTATGCCGAGCTGGCGCAATAGAGAAGCACACATAACGCACGGCTCCACGGTGACGTATAGGATGCTTTCTCGAATGATCGATCTGTCGACTCGCTCGTCAGGATGGCACTTTTGTCCGTAAGGGTATAGATGGCCCTTGGCACCATCCTCGTTTCCTTCATCTGGAGGTCCTGATTCGATAGAAGATGCGTCAGAAGCTGCTTCAGACTGGTTTTCAGCCTTGGGCTTCAGATAGGTCGTCCTCGGCCCGTTCTTAGGGGGGTAAGATAGTAGAGCACCGAGGGCCATGAACTCGGCATGGCGAGTACCGTTTCGAGTTACATTGGTCGCGTTCATGCCCCGAGCAATAATCTTCCCTTTATGAACGAGCACACATCCAACGGGGGTTTCATTGGTCCTTAGGGCTAGTCGGGCCTGCAGAGTTTCTGTGAGTCTTGGAACGGCAGAGATGTGCAGGATGTGTAGGATGTGATCACACTAGAGGGAACTTGAAGGCTTACCATATCCAGAGCTGCTTCAGTAAATTTCAAGTGCATTGCTCTCTCAGCCACCACGGCAGGATCTGTAAAGATCGGTGCCGTGGGGATGACCGGGGTGGTGGATTTGGGAGAAGTTGAGATAGCCTTGTCGTCTTGGAGCTGGAGGCGAGCAAGGGACTCAGATAACTGAGAGGCGTTGGGAGGCTGGTTTTCTTTGTCCACGTCCTCGTTCTGGGAATACTGCTTCTGGGGAGACGCCATATCGCCAGGAGCAGTAGGGATCGCAGTGGACGAAAGATGGTCGGGTTTCTGGGGATGATCTGCAGCGGTGATGTTTTCTTGACTTGGGGTGATAGAGGGAGATGACGAAGATTCTTGGTTTTTCTTGCCTTGAGATTCGGTGTTGACGTTATCTTTGGTGGGTTCGTTACCGGCGTTTCCTCTGCCAGTTTGGTCGGTGTCGCTGGCACTGGCACTGGCACT